TTACATACTGTAATTTCAACTACATTATATTTCGAACACAGCTTACTATGGTAGAAATCGTGTTGTTAATGTTAATGTCGTCAAAAACATATCACATATTTAAAAGTATGTTACGTCCACTGGTCAAACGTGCTCATATAGCTGAAGAAACATTCTCATAAGAAAAATATTAATATGTTACGCTCAAAACAGTGCAGGCAATGGCATTTTGGTTTACAGCATTGCAACGTTGTACATAGGTGCAAACAGAATCTTTAAAAATATTTTTAAATCTAATCATAATCAGACTAGCTGTAAATTACTCTATATAATACAATGACAGTGGATTTCTTGAAAAAAATTTAAAATAAACGCGCACTAAATATCGAAAAGTGGGCTACTCTAAATTCAATACTATTTCACAATAGGCTACTTTCAGACATTTCAGATCCCCACAGACACATATTCTCGTTTTCTAAATAAAGTTACCATTGGTTTTCGTTACCACACTACCAACCACCATAGACTGTATAAGACTAACGTTACCACGTTAAAAACTCACCTGCGCTCATTGTCGAACATCATCTAGTATCTGAGACACGGCAATGACAGGCCAAACACGATGAAGTCATAATCCAGGAAGAATTTACACGAGATTATAACATGAGATTATATATGAACTACTTCTCTTACTTCATTTTGCGATTAAACAGCAATACAGGACAGCAGGCGCTCAGCTCGAGCGCGGGACGAGACTTTGCCTTGACTTCCTGAGGAAAGGGCGTCAGGACAAAAAGCAAAAACAGGAGTTTTTAAATCAAGGCAAGGCTATTTTATATATATATATATAGAGAGAGAGAGAGAGAGTCTGTATTAATTTGGCCACCTAGTTCAGGAGCACACATATCTAAGGGAGAATGAGAGAGAGAGAAAAGATTTCCCCTATATCTCTCACACAATATATAATGAATATAATAGATATTTAAAATAAATATTAAACAGAGAAACTGGACTTTGGTCAAAGCTATTTCAGGGCAGTATGTCCTTCAGAGGTTTGCATTACAGGAAATCTCTTATCCTGCATCCTTAACAACAGACATCCAGGCATGGAGAATATTCTGTGTTCTAATATTCGATTTTCTATGAAGTGACAAATGGAAGAAGAAAAAAAAACAGTAATACAAAGCATTCATAATGCACCAAAACACACACACACACACACATGCTTTTAGTTTGCCATTCAGATTAAATCAGTGAAGTGAATGCAGAAAAAAGCAGGTTAAAACCATATAGTTCACTGTCTGTAAATGCAAAAATGGCTAAGTAAAGCAAAGCAAGTGCCGAGGAAAGGTTTAGCATCATTTGTTTGTTAATGTTAACTTCAGCTGCAACATGTGAAGTGATCAAAGAGCTGATCCAGGAGTAAAATCTGCAACTGTTATTTTTAAATGTATGATTAATAGGAAGCCATTTCTATAGGCTTAAATAAGGCCATGACCTTTTCCCAACAACTCTACAGAAATATGCTTCCTTCCTCAAACGTCTTTAGCCTGCGATTAGCCTGGGTTAGTTAGTATGAACATTCAGTTTTCCAGGAGAAGAGTATGTAAGAGGTAAACAACCTACTTCAAACCTAAGACTTATACTTAACTTTACCTTAATACTTATTTTATTTACTGTAATGTTATACACTATAGATCGTATACAGTTGTCCATCTTATTTCTAAAATGATTTGGTAATATCCTGGGTATTGAGTGCTGAAATGTGTATTTAGATGGGAATTTTATGAGATTAGCTTCTGTATTAGACTATTTGCATCTTTATTGCAGCATGAATGGGAATCAAATTTTATTTATTTTTTTCTTCCAGATTTTAGCAAATCACAATGTCACAAACTTGTGATGAACTAGAAGAAAAAAGGAAAGTGTACATAATACACTGGATCACATCATGCATGGTGCCTTCATTACGTCAAATTATAATATTGAGATCTCCAGAATACTACTTTTGGATATGCAATGGCTACTGAACAAAGGTGGAAAAAATTAACAAGTCAAGTCACCTTTATTTATATAGCGCTTTTAACAATACAGATTGTGTCAAAGCAACTGAACAGCATTAATTAGGAAAATAGTGTGTCAATAATGCAAAATGACAATAGTAAACTAATTTTTCAGTTAAAGACAGTTCATCATTGAATTCAGTGATGTCATCATCCAGCTCAGTTCAGTTTAAATAGTATCTTTGCAATCAAGTCAACGATATCGCTGGAAATGAAGTGTCCCCAACTAAGCAAGCCAGAGGTGACAGCAGCAAGGAACCAAAACTCCATCGGTGACAGAATGGAGAAAAAACCTTGGCAGAAACTAGGCTCAGTCGGGGGGCCAGTTCTCCTCTGACCAGACAAAACCAGCAGTTCAATTTCAGGCTGCAGCAAAGTCACATTGTGCAGAGGACTC